TCTTTCCCATTGTGTTCCGCTGAGCCTTTTTTTGAGGCGCCTCAAAAGTCTTTCCCATTGTGTTCCGCTGAGCCTTTTTTTGAGGCGCCTCAAAAGTCTTTCCCATTGTGTTCCGCTGAGCCTTTTTTTGAGGCGCCTCAAAAGTCTTTCCCATTGTGTTCCGCTGAGCCTTTTTTTGAGGCGCCTCAAAAGTCTTTCCCATTGTGTTCCGCTGAGCCTTTTTTTGAGGCGCCTCAAAAGTCTTTCCCATTGTGTTCCGCTGAGCCTTTTTTTGAGGCGCCTCAAAAGTCTTTCCCATTGTGTTCCGCTGAGCCTTTTTTTGAGGCGCCTCAAAAGTCTTTCCCATTGTGTTCCGCTGAGCCTTTTTTTGAGGCGCCTCAAAAGTCTTTCCCATTGTGTTCCGCTGAGCCTTTTTTTGAGGCGCCTCAAAAGTCTTTCCCATTGTGTTCCGCTGAGCCTTTTTTTGAGGCGCCTCAAAAGTCTTTCCCATTGTGTTCCGCTGAGCCTTTTTTTGAGGCGCCTCAAAAGTCTTTCCCATTGTGTTCCGCTGAGCCTTTTTTTGAGGCGCCTCAAAAGTCTTTCCCATTGTGTTCCGCTGAGCCTTTTTTTGAGGCGCCTCAAAAGTCTTTCCCATTGTGTTCCGCTGAGCCTTTTTTTGAGGCGCCTCAAAAGTCTTTCCCATTGTGTTCCGCTGAGCCTTTTTTTGAGGCGCCTCAAAAGTCTTTCCCATTGTGTTCCGCTGAGCCTTTTTTTGAGGCGCCTCAAAAGTCTTTCCCATTGTGTTCCGCTGAGCCTTTTTTTGAGGCGCCTCAAAAGTCTTTCCCATTGTGTTCCGCTGAGCCTTTTTTTGAGGCGCCTCAAAAGTCTTTCCCATTGTGTTCCGCTGAGCCTTTTTTTGAGGCGCCTCAAAAGTCTTTCCCATTGTGTTCCGCTGAGCCTTTTTTTGAGGCGCCTCAAAAGTCTTTCCCATTGTGTTCCGCTGAGCCTTTTTTTGAGGCGCCTCAAAAGTCTTTCCCATTGTGTTCCGCTGAGCCTTTTTTTGAGGCGCCTCAAAAGTCTTTCCCATTGTGTTCCGCTGAGCCTTTTTTTGAGGCGCCTCAAAAGTCTTTCCCATTGTGTTCCGCTGAGCCTTTTTTTGAGGCGCCTCAAAAGTCTTTCCCATTGTGTTCCGCTGAGCCTTTTTTTGAGGCGCCTCAAAAGTCTTTCCCATTGTGTTCCGCTGAGCCTTTTTTTGAGGCGCCTCAAAAGTCTTTCCCATTGTGTTCCGCTGAGCCTTTTTTTGAGGCGCCTCAAAAGTCTTTCCCATTGTGTTCCACTGAGCCTTTTTTTGAGGCGCCTCAAAAGTCTTTCCCATTGTGTTCCGCTGAGCCTTTTTTTGAGGCGCCTCAAAAGTCTTTCCCATTGGGTTCCGCTGAGCCTTTTTTTGAGGCGCCTCAAAAGTCTTTCCCATTGTGTTCCGCTGAGCCTTTTTTTGAGGCGCCTCAAAAGTCTTTCCCATTGTGTTCCGCTGAGCCTTTTTTTGAGGCGCCTCAAAAGTCTTTCCCATTGTGTTCCGCTGAGCCTTTTTTTGAGGCGCCTCAAAAGTCTTTCCCATTGTGTTCCGCTGAGCCTTTTTTTGAGGCGCCTCAAAAGTCTTTCCCATTGTGTTCCGCTGAGCCTTTTTTTGAGGCGCCTCAAAAGTCTTTCCCATTGTGTTCCGCTGAGCCTTTTTTTGAGGCGCCTCAAAAGTCTTTCCCATTGTGTTCCGCTGAGCCTTTTTTTGAGGCGCCTCAAAAGTCTTTCCCATTGTGTTCCGCTGAGCCTTTTTTTGAGGCGCCTCAAAAGTCTTTCCCATTGTGTTCCGCTGAGCCTTTTTTTGAGGCGCCTCAAAAGTCTTTCCCATTGTGTTCCGCTGAGCCTTTTTTTGAGGCGCCTCAAAAGTCTTTCCCATTGTGTTCCGCTGAGCCTTTTTTTGAGGCGCCTCAAAAGTCTTTCCCATTGTGTTCCGCTGAGCCTTTTTTTGAGGCGCCTCAAAAGTCTTTCCCATTGTGTTCCGCTGAGCCTTTTTTTGAGGCGCCTCAAAAGTCTTTCCCATTGTGTTCCGCTGAGCCTTTTTTTGAGGCGCCTCAAAAGTCTTTCCCATTGTGTTCCGCTGAGCCTTTTTTTGAGGCGCCTCAAAAGTCTTTCCCATTGTGTTCCGCTGAGCCTTTTTTTGAGGCGCCTCAAAAGTCTTTCCCATTGTGTTCCGCTGAGCCTTTTTTTGAGGCGCCTCAAAAGTCTTTCCCATTGTGTTCCGCTGAGCCTTTTTTTGAGGCGCCTCAAAAGTCTTTCCCATTGTGTTCCGCTGAGCCTTTTTTTGAGGCGCCTCAAAAGTCTTTCCCATTGTGTTCCGCTGAGCCTTTTTTTGAGGCGCCTCAAAAGTCTTTCCCATTGTGTTCCGCTGAGCCTTTTTTTGAGGCGCCTCAAAAGTCTTTCCCATTGTGTTCCGCTGAGCCTTTTTTTGAGGCGCCTCAAAAGTCTTTCCCATTGTGTTCCGCTGAGCCTTTTTTTGAGGCGCCTCAAAAGTCTTTCCCATTGTGTTCCGCTGAGCCTTTTTTTGAGGCGCCTCAAAAGTCTTTCCCATTGTGTTCCGCTGAGCCTTTTTTTGAGGCGCCTCAAAAGTCTTTCCCATTGTGTTCCGCTGAGCCTTTTTTTGAGGCGCCTCAAAAGTCTTTCCCATTGTGTTCCGCTGAGCCTTTTTTTGAGGCGCCTCAAAAGTCTTTCCCATTGTGTTCCGCTGAGCCTTTTTTTGAGGCGCCTCAAAAGTCTTTCCCATTGTGTTCCGCTGAGCCTTTTTTTGAGGCGCCTCAAAAGTCTTTCCCATTGTGTTCCGCTGAGCCTTTTTTTGAGGCGCCTCAAAAGTCTTTCCCATTGTGTTCCGCTGAGCCTTTTTTTGAGGCGCCTCAAAAGTCTTTCCCATTGTGTTCCGCTGAGCCTTTTTTTGAGGCGCCTCAAAAGTCTTTCCCATTGTGTTCCGCTGAGCCTTTTTTTGAGGCGCCTCAAAAGTCTTTCCCATTGTGTTCCGCTGAGCCTTTTTTTGAGGCGCCTCAAAAGTCTTTCCCATTGTGTTCCGCTGAGCCTTTTTTTGAGGCGCCTCAAAAGTCTTTCCCATTGTGTTCCGCTGAGCCTTTTTTTGAGGCGCCTCAAAAGTCTTTCCCATTGTGTTCCGCTGAGCCTTTTTTTGAGGCGCCTCAAAAGTCTTTCCCATTGTGTTCCGCTGAGCCTTTTTTTGAGGCGCCTCAAAAGTCTTTCCCATTGTGTTCCGCTGAGCCTTTTTTTGAGGCGCCTCAAAAGTCTTTCCCATTGTGTTCCGCTGAGCCTTTTTTTGAGGCGCCTCAAAAGTCTTTCCCATTGTGTTCCGCTGAGCCTTTTTTTGAGGCGCCTCAAAAGTCTTTCCCATTGTGTTCCGCTGAGCCTTTTTTTGAGGCGCCTCAAAAGTCTTTCCCATTGTGTTCCGCTGAGCCTTTTTTTGAGGCGCCTCAAAAGTCTTTCCCATTGTGTTCCGCTGAGCCTTTTTTTGAGGCGCCTCAAAAGTCTTTCCCATTGTGTTCCGCTGAGCCTTTTTTTGAGGCGCCTCAAAAGTCTTTCCCATTGTGTTCCGCTGAGCCTTTTTTTGAGGCGCCTCAAAAGTCTTTCCCATTGTGTTCCGCTGAGCCTTTTTTTGAGGCGCCTCAAAAGTCTTTCCCATTGTGTTCCGCTGAGCCTTTTTTTGAGGCGCCTCAAAAGTCTTTCCCATTGTGTTCCGCTGAGCCTTTTTTTGAGGCGCCTCAAAAGTCTTTCCCATTGTGTTCCGCTGAGCCTTTTTTTGAGGCGCCTCAAAAGTCTTTCCCATTGTGTTCCGCTGAGCCTTTTTTTGAGGCGCCTCAAAAGTCTTTCCCATTGTGTTCCGCTGAGCCTTTTTTTGAGGCGCCTCAAAAGTCTTTCCCATTGTGTTCCGCTGAGCCTTTTTTTGAGGCGCCTCAAAAGTCTTTCCCATTGTGTTCCGCTGAGCCTTTTTTTGAGGCGCCTCAAAAGTCTTTCCCATTGTGTTCCGCTGAGCCTTTTTTTGAGGCGCCTCAAAAGTCTTTCCCATTGTGTTCCGCTGAGCCTTTTTTTGAGGCGCCTCAAAAGTCTTTCCCATTGTGTTCCGCTGAGCCTTTTTTTGAGGCGCCTCAAAAGTCTTTCCCATTGTGTTCCGCTGAGCCTTTTTTTGAGGCGCCTCAAAAGTCTTTCCCATTGTGTTCCGCTGAGCCTTTTTTTGAGGCGCCTCAAAAGTCTTTCCCATTGTGTTCCACTGAGCCTTTTTTTGAGGCGCCTCAAAAGTCTTTCCCATTGTGTTCCGCTGAGCCTTTTTTTGAGGCGCCTCAAAAGTCTTTCCCATTGTGTTCCGCTGAGCCTTTTTTTGAGGCGCCTCAAAAGTCTTTCCCATTGTGTTCCGCTGAGCCTTTTTTTGAGGCGCCTCAAAAGTCTTTCCCATTGTGTTCCGCTGAGCCTTTTTTTGAGGCGCCTCAAAAGTCTTTCCCATTGTGTTCCGCTGAGCCTTTTTTTGAGGCGCCTCAAAAGTCTTTCCCATTGTGTTCCGCTGAGCCTTTTTTTGAGGCGCCTCAAAAGTCTTTCCCATTGTGTTCCGCTGAGCCTTTTTTTGAGGCGCCTCAAAAGTCTTTCCCATTGTGTTCCGCTGAGCCTTTTTTTGAGGCGCCTCAAAAGTCTTTCCCATTGTGTTCCGCTGAGCCTTTTTTTGAGGCGCCTCAAAAGTCTTTCCCATTGTGTTCCGCTGAGCCTTTTTTTGAGGCGCCTCAAAAGTCTTTCCCATTGTGTTCCGCTGAGCCCTGCCATGTGTCTTGTCCCTTCCATTCCGTTTCTGTAATCAACAGGTGCTAGGCCGCTTCCACCCACACGGTGACACAGCAGTCTACGGCGCCCTAGTGCGCATGGCACAGGACTTCTCTCTCCGTGCTTAGCCGCTCTTGCATCCCTTCCTCCTGTTCACGATCATCCCACAGGTGCTGGGTCGATTCCACCCTCACGGCGACACGGCAGTGTACGATGCCCTCGTGCGCATGGCGCAGGACTTCTCTCTCCGCGCTCCACTCGTGCACGGGCACGGCAACTTTGGGTCTGTGGATGCTGACCCTGCTGCTGCCATGCGCTACACTGAGTGCCGCCTGCAGGTAATTCGAGATTGTTTAAGGCCAAGACCACACCTCTAGTCCTACCAACTTAGCTTGTCCAATCTTTTCCACGCTCACTTACGCTCCCGCTCCCAGTCCCGTACTCATTCTCACATTACTCAAACTCCTCTCCCTTCGCCTATTCTTTCTCCCCCTTTTCTCTCTTCCCCTCTTTCCTTCCCCTCCTCCTTTGCAGCCCCTCACGGAGAAGATGCTTCTTGAAGACATTCTCAGCGACACAGTGAGCTGGGTCGGGGCTAGGCATGATGGGGGCTCTGGGGTTAAAGTCCATTATCACTTGCAGGCAATATCAGTTGCTGGTATATCGGGTTTGTTATGACTCAACTTGACTGACGACACATTAGTTGTGGTTTAGGGGGCGACCTTTTCTCGGGTTAGATATGCTTATGACCTTGTGGTTCACCTGGGCATGTATTGGCAATCTCTCTTAACCCCTCTCTCTCCCATCTCCACGCCCCCCGCTCCTCGCCCTGCCGCTCAGGTTAACTTTTCGCCCAACTTCGATGCATCAACCAATGAGCCAACAGTGCTTCCCGCGCGAATCCCCGTGCTTCTGCTCAACGGCTCTCAAGGGATCGCGGTACGTCTAGTGCTGCTTTCCGCACTCGTGTGATTTCTGAGGCAACTGAGGAAACACACGCTCGCATCCCTGTGCTTCTGCTCAACGGCTCTCAAGGGGTTGCGGTACGTACGCTGCTGGTCTGCCTTTTCTGTTGCCACAAGAAATTGTGGTACGTATGCTGCTGGGTGAAAAGAAATCGTTTGAGACGACTTCTGTACCTTTTCGCACCCCTCTCGTCCCCTCCAGTACCTTCCTAAACCCCTTCTCACTCCCTCACACCCTGTACCCCTTTCCTCACTCCCTCACACCCGTATTTCCTTCAGGTGGGCCTGGCCACCAACATCCCACCTCACAATCTGACCGAGCTCGTGGATGCACTCTCAGCATTCATCCACAACCCTGTTTGGCCCTTCCCATCCACTCCTGTACCACCCTGCACCCGTTTGCACCCTTCTTAATCCCTGTGCATCACCCTGCACTCCCCAATACCCCACCAGGTGGGCATGGCGACCAACATCCCGCCCACAACCGGACCGAGCTTGTGGATGCGCTCTCAGCCTTCATCCACAACCTTGCTTGGCCCTCCCCACATCCCCCTCTACCACCTTGCTCCCTCTTCCACCCGCCTGTACCACTCTGTATTCCCATGCACACCATGCAGGTGGGCATGGCCACCAACATCCCACCTCACAACCTGTCCGAGCTCGTCGACGCGCTCTCAGCGTTCATAGACAACCCCGCCATCACCACCGACGAGCTCATGCAGATCTGTCAAGGCCCGGACTTCCCCACTGGGGGAGTCATTCTGGGCACGTCAGGGTACGTATGCAGGAGAGGGAGGGGTGGGACATGACTCGGAGTTGCCCAGTGGCGCAGTAGGTGTGTTAGCTGTTGCCATGCTCCAACCCTGCCATCACCACCGACAAGCTCATGCTCATCTGTCAAGGCCCGGACTTCCCCACTGGGGGGGGTCATTCTGGGCACATCAGGGTACGCATGTGTGAGAACTGTATTGCTTGTGGAGTTGTGATTGAGATTGAGGAGGGCATGTGGGTGGAAGGCTGGCAACCCCCCCATCACCACAGAAGAGCTCTTCTGTCAGGGGGCCCGGACTTCCCCACTGGAGAAGATTGGTTTTGAGACTTCTCAAAACCAATCTTCCTACACGGAAGGCTGGCAACCCCGCCATCACCACAGAAGAGCTCTTCTGTCAGGGCCAGGACTTCCCCACTGGAGGGGTCATTCTGGGCACATCTAGTTTTGAGGCGCCTCAAAACTAGATTTCCCCACTGGAGGGGTCATTCTGGGCACGTCAGGGTACGTGTTTCATTCCCCTTCTTCTCTCCACTCCTCCGAGCAGCATGGAGGAGGCATACCGCAAGGGAAGGGGATTGATAGTGATGCTCGATCGAGCTGGGCTTGTTTCGTTGAGGCGCCTCTGAAATGGAGTTCCCTTTCCTTGAGTTGACTCAAAACGAGGTGACTTTTGAGTCGACTCAAAAGCTTGGTTTTTTTCGTTGAGGCGCCTCCGAAATGGAGTTCCCTTCTCCGTTTTCCTTCCTGGGCAGCATGGAGGAGGCATACCGCACGTGGAGGGGGTCCATAGTGGTGCGGGGGAGGGCGTAGGAGGAGGAACTGTGCACCTCTGTAATTAATTCCCGCTTCCCTCCCTTTTCCCCCCCGACCAGCATGGAGGAAGCGTATCGCACCGGGAGGGGGTCGATCGTGGTGCGGGGGAGGGCGTATGTGGAGGAGCTGGGCGGAATGTTCTAGGTGCCTCAGAGATAGATTTTGGTGTCCCTTCTTCTCCCCCCCCGAGCAGCATGGAGGAGGCATACCGGACGGGGAGGGGGTCGATCGTGGTGCGGGGGAGGGCGTATGTGGAGGAGCTGGGCGGAGGGGGAGCGGGGAGCAGAGGCAACCGGATTGGCATTGTCATCACAGAGGTGCGTGCTGGTGGGTGGTCGCTGAGTTTTGTGTCGACTCTTAGGCTTTTTGTGGTGGGAAGGGTGATAGTGGCGCAGAGGAGGGCGTGTGTGGAGGAGCTGGGAGGAGGGGAGCAGGGAGCAGAGGCAACCTGCTGGGGATTGTCGTCACAGAGGTGCGTGGGTGGTTGTGGGAAGTGAGACTGTATATGTGCTTGTTGAATTGTGAGCATCTCTCTCCCCCCCCTTCCCAAACAGCAAGGTGGTGGAGGGGGTGAGTGACATCCGAGATGAGAGCGACTGGGGGGGTCAGCTTGTGTTGATACCTTCTCCTCCCCTCATCCCACCCCCATCCCCTATTCAAACAGTTGCCATACCAGACAAACAAGGCCGCACTGGTGGAGAAGATGGCAGAACTTGTAAACAGCAAGGTGGTGGAGGGGGTGAGTGACATCCGCGATGAGAGTGACCAGGGGGACTCAGCCCTATTGCTGACACACCCTCCTCTCCCCACCCACTCCCCTTCCTCCCCACAAGCAGTTACCCTACCAGACCAACAAAGCTGCCTTAGTCGAGAAGATGGCGGAGCTGGTTAATAGTAAGGTGGTGGAGGGGGTGAGTGACATCCGCGACGAGAGCGACCGCGGGGGCATGCGCGTGGTGGTGGAGGTGAAGCGAGGGGCGACGCCCATGGCTGTGCTGGCTTCCCTGTACAAACACACTCAGCTGCAATCCCGCTTCAACTGCAACCTGGTGGGGTGAGTGGTGGTGGGCAGGGTGAGTTTGTAGTGTGATAGTTGGTTGAGGTGGTGGGGTGGCTAAGGGTGTCACTGGCGTGCCACCCCCATGGCTGTGCTGGCATCGCTGTACAAGCACACTCAGCTGCAGTCGCGCTTCAACTGCAACCTCGTGGGGGGAGTGACATGCAGTCTTCGATTGTGTGACAGGCTCCGACTGTTTGATAGGCTCTGACAGTTTGTGGTGGGGTATTGATAGTGGCCACTTCAGAACTGAGAGATGTTGCATATCAACCCATCCCCCTGCCCCCACTCCATCTTGCTGTGTTCCCCACAATCCTTAAAGGCAGGGTGCAACTTCTTAGGAACAGTTGCAGGACAAATATGGAGTGTGCGTAACGGGACCCTTATTGGACGAAAAAAATGGAATCTCGCACAAGACAAACCTCTCGCCACTGAACTGCCTGGGACTACCAATTTTCAAGCTATAATACCCTGAAGTTGAAGCTGATAGTTGGGCCACGGCTTTAAGAAGTAGAAAGCTTCAAGAAGCTGACTTCTTTTGGATCCTGCTCTCTTCCGCATCCTCCCCTGCCGTCCCTGCCGCCCCTGCCATCCCTGCCGCCCCTGCCGCCCCTGCCGCCCCTGCCATCCCTGCCGCCCCTGCCGCCCCTGCCTCCCCTGCCTCCCCTGCTTCCTCATCCCGACTTCCCGTCCCTGCTTCCTCATCCCGACTTCCCGTCCCTGCTTCCTCTCAGATGGTGTATGGAGAGCCCAAGGAGATGACACTGATGGTCTTCCTCCCCTCCTTTGCTCTCTCTCCTCTTATTCCTCTCACACCCATCCTGTCTTCCGCTCCCTGCTACTTCTCAGGCTGGTCAATGGAGAGCCCAAGGAGATGACTCTCAGAGACTTTTTCCAGGTGAGACAGAATGGTGCGGTTAGGGGAGCCCTGTGTCGTGCGTTTGAAATCACTTTTGAGAATTCTCAAAAGCGGTTAGGGGAGCCCTGTGTCGTGCGTTTGTGTACTCGCTCATGCCAAGCCTCGCCTCTTGTTCCCTGAGTTCTCTGCTCCGCTCTTGATCCGCTGCTCTTCCACTCTCTTTCGCCTGCCTCTCGGGCAAATAGAATACCCAGGATATGACAAATACGTTTTTTTTGCAAAAATTCTCGATCAGGGGAACCTAGAATTCGTTTGAACTCTGGTCCCGTTACCTCGATTCTTTCTCTCCCTTTGCCTCCCTACATCCAATTCCTTTTTCTCCCTCTCTTCCCTTGTCCCCCCAGCCGCCATTCCCCCACCCCCTTGTCCCCACTGGCCCCCCACATTCACATCTTTCTGGGCTTTTGTTGCTGTCATTGAGCAAACCAGATGCAATTTTCCCCTCGCTCTGGCCCCCATCCCCCTTCCCCTTCCCCCCACCCCCCCCCCCCCCCCCCCCCCTCCTCCCTTGTCCCCACCGCCCGCACGCGGAATCAGGTGTTTCTGGACTTCCGCTGCCAGGTCATCGAGCGCCGAACCAAGTTCCAGCTTCGAAAGGCAGAGGACCGGGAGCACTACGTGCAGGTACGTGCGGTTCGGCTTCCAGCTCCGTAGTACGTTCTGCATCCAGTCCGTTCTCCATGACTTCTCCATGTATTCACCATTTTCTCTTCCTTTACATCACCTCCCTCCCTCTTTCCCTAAAGTCACCACCCCTCTCCTCCCCAACGCAACCTCCCTTCTCCACCTCTCCACACACACCACCCAGGGTCTGCCCATCAGCCTCAGAAGCCAGGATCGAATGGTGGTCACACTCAAGGCTGCTGCCTCTCCTAGCGTGCCTTCACCTCTCATCCCCTCCAACCACCTGGGCGATTTTAAGGCACCTCGTTTTACCCTCCCCATTCCCCCTTCCAACAACCCGCAGGGTCTGCTGATCGGCCTGGGAAGCCTGGATCGAATGGTGGACATCCTCAAGGCGGCTGCCACTCCTTGTCTTAACCTCCCACACACCCCCTTCCCTTCCCACTGTTTCCCTTCCCACTGTTTCCCTTCCCCATCTCTGCTTATGCACCTCCCAGGGTCTGCTGATCGGCCTGGGAAGCCTGGATCGAATGGTGGACATCCTCAAGGCGGCTGCCACTCCCGCTGATGCTGCTGCCACTCTCCAGCAAGGTGCGCCTGCTTGCAACCCACGCCCCCCTGCTGGTCTGTTTCTGTGTGCATCTGTAAAGCGCCTGCCACTCCCGCTGATGCGGCTGCCACCCTCCAGCAAGGCGCGCCTGCTTGGAGCCCACGCCCCCCTCCCTCCCCACTTAGAACCCTCTCCCCTCCCCATCCCCCCTGTTCGTGGAGAAAGGAGGTAGCAGCATGTTTTATGCCTGGCTCGAATCAAGCCAACCTTCTGGGCGGAGGAGAGGGGAAGAGGATGGGAGCGTTGTTGACAATCAATGTTACCTACGTTCCTTCACCAAGGGTCTACGTTGCCAGCGAATTTCGAGGCGCCAAAAGCCGTCTTTTGAGGCATCTCAGGAAACGTTGCCAGCGCGTATCTTATCTGCAACGTAGTCAACGTTGTGTTGTGGGCTGCCAACCAACCAACCTCGGTGATGTGTGCCGGTGCGCCGCATGCAGCAAAAGCTTGCACACATCACCTCACATGTGAGGTGCAACCTCGGTTAAGCTTTTGCTGCATGCGGCGCACCGGCATGCTGCAGTCTGACTCGATCGAATGATGACTTAACGTGTTTTTTTTTTTTTTTTTTTTTCTACTTTCTGTGCTATCCCTCCATCCACTCTGCATGTGCTTGTGTGATGCATTCCTGAGGATGTGTGCTGCCGTGTGTGTGGCATGTGTGTGACGTGTGTGTGTGTGTGTGTGTGTGTGTGTGTGTGTGTGTGTGTGTGTGTGTGTGTGTGTGTGTGTGTGTGTGTGTGTGTGTGTACGTGTGTGTATGCACGGACGCTTCCCAGCCCTCGGCCTATCCCCCATACAGGCTGATGCTCTTCTGGGTACACCACTCCGGCGCCTCACGTCCCTTGAAGTACGTTGTTGCAACACCATTTCTTCCTTCAACAGTGTCACTCTCACATGCATGCATCCATGTACTCGTCTACAGTCACACTCACAGTATCCCTTTACCCGCTCCTCCAACCCTTTTATCCCCTCCTCGCTTCCCTTTCACCCCTTCTTCCCTTCCCATCCGTGCCTGTCCCACCCAACCCCTTCAGGTGTCGAAGCTGGAGGAGGAGCACACCCGTCAGAAGGCAGACTTAGCAGACCGGCAGGGCCTCCCCGTTCACCCGCACTCCTTCCCCTTCCTTTTCCCGCAACCAACTCCCCACCCCAGGTGCCTAAGCTGGAGGAGGAGCACGCACGTCAGAAGGCAGACGTAGCAGACCGGCAGGGCCTCCCCGTTCACCCGCACTCCTTCCCCTTCCTTTTCCCCAACCAACTCCCCAGGTGCCTAAGCTGGAGGAGGAGCACGCACGTCTGAAGGCGGACATAGCAGACCGGCAGGGCCTGCTGGCGAGCAGAAAGAGAATCCTGCAGACCGTGAAGTGAGAGGCCCAGGCGTTCAAAGACGATTTTGGCGGATTCTGAGACGTGCCAATCCCCTCTTTCATCCGAGGTGACTTATGAGTCGACTCAAAAGTCACTTCTGAGACATGCCAATCCCCTCTTTCATCCCCCTTCATCCCCCCCTCCCTTTCCCCTGCCTGTCCAACCCACCCCACCAACCCCCAAGGTCTCTAAGCTAGAGGAGGAGCACGCGCGTCTGAAGGCGGCCATAGCAGACCTGCAGGGGCTGCTGGCGAGCAGAAAGAGGATTCTACAAATGGTCAAGAGAGAGGCTCAGGCGCTCAAGGACGAGTTTGGGGGGCCGAGGAGGACGATGATAAAGACAAATCCCTTGTTGTCCTCCCTTCCCTTTCAACCCCACCCTTCTCCAGGTATCGAAGCTAGAGGAGGAGCACGCGCGTCTGAAGGCGGACATAGCAGACCTGCAAGGTCTGCTTGCCAGCAGGAAGAGGATTCTACAAACGGTCAAGAGAGAGGCTCAGGCGCTCAAGGACGAGTTTGGGGGGCCGAGGAGGACGAGGATAGAGGTGGACGGCACTGCAGGGGATTTGGATCCGTCGGATGTCATTCCTAATGACACTGTGCTGCTGGTATGTGCTGCTGGTATGTTTGCCTTGGGTGCGTAAGCTAGGGTGTGTGCTTCACACGGCTGTGGCGCTCAAGTCAGTCGTTCATTCAGAGCAACACATGCAGAGTCAGTCGGTCATTCAGAGCGACACATGCAGAGTCAGTCGTCTCTGTATCTCCCTCCCCCAACCAATCCACTCTCCTCCCTTCCAGAACCTAAGTGAGTGTGGCTATGTGAAGCGCATGGCAGCAGACACCTTCTCAGCGCAGAAGAGAGGCACGGCGGGCAAGTCAGGCAGTCAGAGAGACTCACATATCCCGTTTTCCCCTTCCCCAACCACCCTCGTTTTCCTCTCAGAACCTGAGTGAGCGGGGGTACGTGAAGCGCATGGCAGCAGACACGTTCTCAGCACAGAAGAGGGGCACGGCGGGCAAGTCGGGCGGCAAGCTCAAAGCAGATGATGCCATGGCGCGGTTTGTGGTGTGCCGCACTCACGACACCGTGCTGTTTTTCAGGTGGGCGTTGTTGCGGTGGGTCGGTGTGACGTCACTCTCTCGCGCTCTCTGTCTCTCAGTTCTGTCCACGTCCATGTGTCCCTGGGTCTCTCGCGCTCTCTGTCTCTCAGTTGGTCCACGTCCATGTGTCCCTGGGTCTCTCGCGCTCTCTGTCTCTCAGTTGGTCCACGTCCATGTGTCCCTGGGTCTCTCGCGCTCTCTGTCTCTCAGTTGGTCCACGTGTCTCTGTCCCTGGGTCTCTCGCGCTCTCTGTCTCTCAGTTGGTCCACGTCCATGTGTCCCTGGGTCTCTCGCGCTCTCTGTCTCTCAGTTGGTCCACGTCCATGTGTCCCGGGGTCTCTCGATCTGTGCTGCTCCGAAAGGCAAGTCGGGAGGCAAGCTCAAGGCGGACGGACGATGCCATGGCGCGGTTTGTGGTGTGCCGCACGCACGATACGGTGCTCTTCTTCAGGTGGGCGTTGGGTGGGGTGAGGTGTGCGTCCCTCTATCCCCCTCGTTCCGTCTCTCTGCTTGCATGAGGGTCGTGGTGTGCCTCTCCCATGAGGACCCCGAGGACCCCTCCCATGAGGGTCGTGGTGTGCCTCTCCCATGGCAGGCACCATGTGTGCTCTTCTTCAAGCATCTCTTGTGTGTCTCTATCTGTCTGTGCTTCGTCTTCCCTGCACTGCACTGCAGTGATCGAGGGGTGGCATTGGCATACACCATGAGGGCTGTCAGATCCCCGAGGGCTCCTTTTTTATCACGTGCCTGCTGCCTGCAGTGACCAGGGAGTGGCCCCCTGGAGATCAGATCACCATGAAGGGCTATCAGATCCCCAAGGGCTCTCGCACGGCCATCGCCTATGTTGGCAATCACTTTTGAGAATTCTCTTCAGTAATTTCGGTGCCATCTGTTTCTCTCTCTTCTGTCCTTCCTGTTGCTTCCTGTGCCTGCTGCACTGCAGTGACCGAGGGGTGGCCTACACCATGAAGGGCTATCAGATCCCCGAGGGCTCCCGCACTGCCATCGGCTCTCCCATCTCCCAGGCATGCCTTCCCGTTTCCCATCTCCCAAGCACGCCAACCCCCAACCCTTTCTCTTCTTCTTTTCTTTGCGTTGCTATTTACAGTGACCGAGGAGTGGCCTACACCATGAAGGGCTATCAGATCCCCGAGGGCTCCCGCACGGCCATCGGCTCTCCCATCTCCCAGGCATGCCTTCCCGTTTCCCATCTCCCAAGCACGCCAACCCCCAACCCTTTCTCTTCTTCTTTTCTTTGCGTTGCTATTTACAGTGACCGAGGAGTAGCCTACACCATGAAGGGCTATCAGATCCCCGAGGGCTCCCGCACGGCCATCGGCTCTCCCATCTCCCAGGCACGTCCCTCGCCACTACTACCCTGTGACTTTTGAGTCGACTCAAAAGCCTATCAGGCACGTCCCTCGCCACTACTACCCTGTGACTTTTGAGTCGACTCAAAAGCCTATCAGGCACGTCCCTCGCCACTACTACCCTGTGACTTTTGAGTCGACTCAAAAGCCTATCAGGCACGTCCCTCGCCACTACTACCCTGCGTGCCATGTCTTGAGTCGACTCGAAAATCCCTCTCCGCAACTATAGGGCTACGCCTTACTAATCCTGTTAAAGCCTACCGGTCACGCATCTTGCTCCCCCCTCTCCTCGCATTGCCTCCACCCTTCATCAGATCAGATCGTCCCTCTTCTCTGCAGTACACAGAGCAGAGGACTTTTCAGAGGACGCCTGTCTGTCTTCATGCCTCTTGCTCCTCCCTTCCTGCATGCCCCTCCCTCCTCCTCTTTCTCCCCATCAGATCATGCCTCTGCAGGACTCAGAGCGCATCACATCCATGCTGCCAGTGGGAGATTTCTCAGAAGACCCGTATCTCGACATGATGACCCGCCTATCCTGTAGTAACTCACCAACCACCTCCCCGTGCCCACTCCCTCCCCAAACACCTCCCTGTCCCCACTTCTTTTCCTCGTCCCCCCTCTTCCCCTCTCCCCGCCTCCCCCAATCAGATCGTGCCTCTGCAGGACTCAGAGCGCATCACATCAATGCTGCCGGTGGGGGATTTCTCAGAAGACGCGTATCTCGTCATGATGACGCACAGTACCCCAACCACTCCCTCCACTAGCCTTTTTCCTCAACCGCCTCCCCGCCCACCTTCTCCTTCCCACATCAGATCGTGCCTCTGCAGGACTCAGAGCGAATCACATCGATGCTGCCAGTGGGGGACTTCTCAGAAGACGCGTATCTCGTCATGATGACGCGAGGGGGCTTCATCAAGCGCACTGCCCTGCATGCCTTCAGCGACACACGCAAGAGCGGCCTGATTGCCATTCAGCTGGTGGGTCTGTGTGTGTGTATACGTGCATCACATATGTGTAAAGGGTCTGCCTGTCCATGCCTATGACCCGAGGGGGCTTCATCAAGCGCACTGCTCTGCATGCGTTCAGCGACACGCGCAAGAGTGGCCTCATTGCCATTCAGCTGGTACGCTGTGTGTGTGCATGCATCACATGACCGTCCATCTGTCTGTCCATGATTATCATGACGCGAGGGGGCTTCATCAAGCGTACTACTGCTCTGCATGCCTTCAGCGACACGCGCAAGAGCGGCCTCATCGCCATTCAGCTGGTGGGCCTGTGTGTATGCATGCATCACATGACCGTCCATCTGTCTGTCCATGATTATCATGACTCGAGGGGGCTTCATCAAGCGTACTACTGCTCTGCATGCCTTCAGCGACACACGCAAGAGCGGCCTCATCGCCATTCAGCTGGTGGGTGTGTGTGAGTGTATACATGCATCACATAAGGGTCTGCCTGTCCATGCCTACGATCCGAGGGGGCTTCATCAAGCGCACTGCGCTGCATGCCTTCAGCTACACGCGCAAGAGCGGTCTTATCGCCATTCAACTGCTATGTCCGTCGATGCGGTTTTATCTCCATATAGTTGGTGGGTCCTGTGTGTGCCAGGTGGGTGGGTCAAGTCAAGGTGAAGCAAGGAAGGAAGTTGAGCTCTAACAAGAAAAGCTTCACCACGTTCCTCCTGCGTTTTTTCCTATACACCTCACTGAATCCTCTTCCACCGCATCTAACGCCTCTCTACCCTTCCCCATCCACGTGGCACCCATCCCTTCTGACGGCCCGCAGGGCGACGGTGATGAGCTGGCGTGGGTGCGGAGGGCGACAGCCGGCGACTCCCTATTGGTCGGCTCGCAGTTTGGCAACATCGTTCGCTTTGCGTGCGACGACGACCAGTTGAGGCAGAGCGGGCGCACAGCGAGGGGAGTGAGGGCCATGCGACTGAGGGAGGGGGACATCGTCGCTGCCCTGGAGATCGTGCCATCTGTCGCCTCGTGAGTGGTTGCCTTTGCTGGCGTTTGCTTGCTGGCCGTGCTTCTGGTTGCTCACGGGCCACGGCCTCAGCGCGCACTCCCACCTGTTGCGTGCGCCGACCAGCTGGCTTTTGAGGCGCCTCAAAAGCCACCTGTTGCGACGATGACCAGCTGAGGCAGAGCGGGCGCACAGCGAGGGGAGTGAGGGCCATGCGCCTGAGGGAGGGGGACATCGTCGCTGCCTTGGAGATCGTGCCAGCTGTCGCCTCGTGAGTGGCTGCCAGCCGTCACCTCGTGAGTGGTTGCCTTGGGTTGGCCTCAGCTCTGCTCCACCTGTCGAGGTGCCTCAAGTTTCTTGGGGCGCCTCATGTATTGCCTTCAGCTGTTCACAGCGCAACTCTTTTCCGCTTGCCAGTCCCTTGCTTCCTTACACCAACCTTGCCTTGCTTCCTTCCCGCCCTTCCCCTCCTCATAGCGAATCCAAGGGCGGGGCCCCATGGATGGTCATGGCCACTCGTAACGGGCTGGGTTAGAAAGCAATTACGTCTGGCTGTGCTGTGCGTATGCTAAGCTCTTCTTTCTTCCCGGCCTTCCCCTTCTTACAGCGAGTCCAAGGACGGGGGCCCATGGGTGGTGATGGCCACTCGCAACGGGATGGGCAAGCGTGTTCCCACCAACCAGTTTGCCAACCAGCGGAGGGGGGGTGTGGGAGTGAAGGGCATCAAGGTGAGCTTGGGGGCGAATTAGAGTCTTGGGGTGAGGAGAATCAAGTGTGAGGGGGCGAAGTAAATGGATGGGAGGAGAATTTGATGTGTAAGGGTAGAGTGCGACTTCGATGTAGTGCTGGGATGGGCAAGCGAGTTCCCACGAACCAGTTTGCCAACCATCGGAAGGGGGGCGTGGACGTGAAGGGCATCAAGGTGAGCTTGGGGGCGAACCAAGTGGGGGAGGGGTTGATTCAATGTGAATTCGGTGTAGCGCTGTGCTGGGCAAAGTGCGTTCCCACAAACCGGTTTGACAACACCAATGTCCTAATCACCCCCCTCCCTCCCTCCTTCCCCTGCATCCCCTATCCCTCTCAGTATGTGAATCACGTGCTGCTGGTCCAGGGGAACGCAGTGATGTTTCTTTGCACTCGTGTCGTGTGTACCAGCAATGTCCCAACCATACCCCCCCTCCTCCCCCCACTTCTCCCCATCCCTCTCGGTGTGTGAATCACGTACAGTTGGGCCAGAGTGATGCACTGGTGTCGCTTTGCACTGGTGTCGCTTTGCACTCGTGGCGATTTGCACGCTACCCCAACCTGAACCCCCTTTCCCCTTGTACCCCTTTCCCCCTCCCCATTCTGCATCACGAGCAGTTGGGCCAGGGGGATGCACTTGTGGCGCTTTGCAGTCGTTGCCCTGTGTGTGTGTGAGAACAATGTTCCAGCCATCCCCCCCTCCCCACTAACCCCTTCCCCCCTCCCCTTTCTGCATCACGAGCAGTTGGGCCAGGGGGATGCACTTGTGGCGCTTTGCAGTCGTTGCCCTGTTGCTCTTTTGGGGTGCCTCACAGGAAACCTCACCTCAATACCTACCCACGCCCCCCCCATTTTCATCCCTCTAACTGGGTGCATCACGAGCAGTTGGGCCAGGGGGATGCACTCGTGGCGCTGCGTCTGGTGGGGGAGGGCACTGCTGACAGAGATGGTGAGAGGGTGGGGTGGGAGGAGCGGGGGAGGAGTTATGGGGGGGGAGCGGAAGGAGAGGGGAGGAGGGGATAAATGGGAGTGGAAAGGAAGAGTTAAATCTGGTGGCGCTGCGTCTGGTGGGGAGGCACTGCTGACAGAGGCGGTGAGCTAAGGGGAAGTTGACGAGCGGATGGGAGGAGTGAAGGATAGGACAGGCGCGGAAGGTGAGTGGAATCACTTTTGAGAATTCTCAAAGGTGAGAGGAGGATGCTGGTGCGTCCACACCGCCCCTCCCACTCCCCCCCAAGTCCTACTCCCCGTATGAACATTGCCCTTCCCCCTTCCCCCCCATACTCTTCAAGTGAGTGAGCGCATTTTCCTCTACCCCCGATCCCACACAGCCACTGGCAGAGCAAGCGAGGCAGCTTGTATCGAGTATGGGGAGTAAGTTACTAGTGGGCAGTGAGGGGGAATCATCAACTGGCTGGGAGTGCAAGACATCCCATCCCTCTCACTCCCTCATCCCCTCATCCCCCATCCCTTCTTCCCCTCTCTGTGCGATCTCAGCAGCCACTGAATCTACAGCCGAGGCAGCTTGTATGGAGTACGGAGAGCTATTAGTGGGCAGTGACGGGGGAATTATCAACCGCTTGCGAGTGCGAGACATCCCCATCCTCTCCCGCACCACACGGGGCTGCCGCCTCATGCGCATCGCCTCTGGGGATAGCCTGGCATCGCTGTCGCTCGTGCCAGGTGCTGCTGAAGGAGAGTTGGAGGAGGATGGGGTGCCGTTAGTAATGCCTGAGGGAGGGGTGAGTGACGAGGAGAGTGAGGAGGAGAAGGTGGAGGGAGAGAGCAGGGTAAAGGCGAAGGTGGTGTAGGGTGGGCGGTCAGATGGATGAGGGAGAGGAGGAGGAGGGAAGGGGCGCCGTTGTGGGGACAGCCTGGCGTCGCTGTCGCTGGTGCCGGGTGCTGTAGAGAGAGAGTTGGAGGAGGATGATGGGGTGCCGTTAGTGGTGCCTGAGGGAGGGGAGAGTGAGGAGGAAAATGTGGAGGGAGGGAGCGGAGTAAACGCGAAGATGGCTGGGATGTAGGAGGAGGGTGGTTGGTTGGATGGATAGGTGAAGCGCAAAAGCTCAGCAGCACAGAGCGTGGTACAAAGTTATGGGTCGAAGGGTTTAGCCACAGGTAAGTCTTTGAGTGTGGATTCAGTATGTGAGCCTTCTTCCTTTGCATCGCACACACCAGGACACAGGCTTGGGAAATGCTTTAGGTCAATTACCATACTTGGGAATATGGTGAGTGCAGTACAAATTCACGGACTTCACATACGGTAGCATCCATTCAATACGTGCTCAACGCAATCCACTGCAAGTCACACTTCTCTTGATAGGGCGTGGTAACCCGCGCTCCTCTTTTCCATACCTGTATTGTCACTACAGTACACTAATCAGAGTGAGAATTCCATGCAGCTTCCCCTCCATTACAACTACCAAGATGTGGCCCACAGCTTTTCCTCCTCCGGAACTACAAAGATGCAAGCGGCCTACCCTCAGTTGTGGCCAAAATGGGGCATTTGAATGGGCGCCGATAACCCTTACTTTCAACGGTAGTCCCACGTGCAGCAGGAAAACGGGACGAGAGGAGAGGCGTGTACAAGAGTACGTGCAGGTGGAGAAACTTCCAATGCAAACCCAGGCCCTCCTGTTCTTTCACTCACTCCTAATCCTGCACGCAAACAGCACAGAGAACGCCCACGGTTAGACAGAGATGTGGGGGAATCAGTGAAAGGGAGCCTAAAAAACAAAGCCCTGGCAGCACTGGTATGAGGGGAGGAGGGAAGGGATTGTGGCACCAAAGGGTTTTTTACCGTCCAGAATGCAAGACCCGACCATGAAGGAAGCTCCCAAGGCAGGGAGAGAGTCAGCACAGGTGGCAGGAAAGGCAGGGGATGGCAGGGGATGGCAGGGGATGGCAGGAGCAGCAGGGATGGCAGGGGATGGCAGGAGCAGCAGGAGCAGCAGGAGCAGCAGGAGCAGCAGGAGCAACAGCTCTGGCAACAGCGGGAGGGGAGAATCCTGGCATGTGGCCGTCCAGAATGCACAAGCAGTTTGTATAGGCGGAGCAAATGCAAGCAGCCCCCAGACCTGCCAACCAGTGCTCCCACCTCGGGTTACCTGACGCACTAAACAGGCGTATTACAGAGGTGGGAGCACTGGTTGGCAGGTCTGGGAGCACTGGTTACCGTACCCTCCATACCTGCGGCAGTTGATCGGACGACCCGGATGCGCCAGCAGCGGCGGCAGCAGCAGATGGGACCAGGGCAGGGGCAGGCGCAACGGGGGGTGGTGCAAAAACGGCAGGCGCAGCGGGAGCAGGGGCAGCGGAGGCGGGTCTAGCGGCAAGCGGGGCGGAGAATCGCGGCACGTGGCCGTCGAGAATGCGCGAGCAGTCGGTGTAGGCGGAACCGACGCCGCAGCCGGCGCCGAAGGCGAGAGCCGCCCAGCGACTCGTGGGGGACCCTGCACGGCGGGCGCGGGGAGGGGAGGTGGGGGGGGAAGGGGGGCCCGTGGAGAGGGGAGGGATGGACAGGAGCGAGAGCACGTGTAAAATGCGCGAGCAGTCGGTGTAGGCGGAACCGACGCCGCAGCCGGCGCCAAAGGCGATAGCGGCCCAGCGACTCGTGGGAGACCCTGGTTGGCGGAGGGTGGGAAACAAAAAGGCGACGTGCGGGGGGAGGGGAAGGGCCGGGGGAGGGGAAAGTGTTTGCTGCTACTCCCAATATGAACTTGGATCCAAGGGGTCATACGTGGTGACGGAAGGAATTGTTAGGGCGGCCAACCGGCTCAAGGGGCTCCCTCAAACCAAGACGGATCACTCACTAAAGAGGACGAGCCCGGTGGCGGCGCCCGCGAGCGTGCTGTAGACGACTCGGCGCAGCGAGAGGTCGACGCAGAGGTCCCATTTGTCGTCCATTAGCAGATCCTGCGCGCGCCGACTCGGAGCCGCCATGGCTGCTGTTTGCGATATTTTGGCTTTCCTGCGTTTCGTTTCGCTGTCTCCTCCTCTACTGGTTCCGTTCGACAGTGATAACCTTCACGAAACTCGCTGGCGAGTTCGCGAGTCCCGCAATCGCGCGGCCACTTCCGCGAAGTTCTGCTGGTCGACGCGCGACGCGATAAGCTACGTGGCTGCTCACGACCGGATCTCAGCGCCCTCAAATTTCGGTACAGGCCAGCGTGTGGTGGAGATTCACTGGTATTATGGAGTCGTGCGCAACGAAATCTGAGATTCGTGCGCAAATAGAGCTGGATCTCAAGGACTAAGGACTCGCGGAAACCAGCAGCAACTTCCCGGAGCCTAGCGCGACGAAAATATCGGGGCGCGACGGGGATGCCGCTGGTCAGAGCAGCTTCAGAACTAGGATACTGCCTGGCAAAATATGTTCTAGAGTCTAGGCCTGAAAGGGGGAAGGGGGAAGGGGGGGAAGGGGAGAAAGGGGAGGGTGGGGAAGGGGAGTTGGGGGAAATGGGGGGTACTTGTGTGGCGGGGGGAATGTTTGGGGGAATGGTTGGGGGAACGGTTGGGACAGCTGGTGAGGGAGTTCTGTTGCCTTTATTTTGTAGCTTGGAGTTCTTTTCCCTCGTTTATCTACTTCTAGTGAAGGATCTTGTGGTGGAGATGAATTTGCCAGCTGTGTGGGGTGGGAGCGACGCTTAGCTGTTCGTTATCTCTTGAAACCGCACTCAAGAAATATGAAACCGTGTAGAATTGCAAAGAACCTTACTGAACCCTATTCAGACGCCCCCTCACAAGCTTCAACGGATATGAGTCTGCGACATGAACGCATAGAACGTCCCTTTCCGCTTAGAACGGGTCATAGGTATTATTGACCGTGCTGCCGATCGATCAGTCGAATAACATCGACCAACTCGTCGCATTCGCGAATCGCGATTCTTCCAACAATGAAGTCCGTTTACATGCTACGATTTAGACAGCACCGAATACAAACGCCTCTTTGTACCCCTCACACATTCGCGTCACAACAGCGACCGCGCGCTCACGTCGCATGTTCGCCACTAGCGCGTCGTCGGAACAGTCGCATCAGCGTCGCATGGCAGCCCGGCGATAGCTCTCCCTTCAGGCGACAAGGGACCGATCAAATTCTCCTTCCCCGCTTGCCACTTCGCCATCCCTGTTCCTTCTCCCCGCGTTTCCAGCTCATATCCGCACAGCACCATCCCGCCTCCGATCCTCTGCCAATTGCGGTACCACCAACGGCAGCAGCGTTCCGCAGCGCCGTGCGCCTCGGCCTGCTGCTTCTGGGCGGCACAGCGGCATTCGCGGTGGGCGGCACCACTGTCGCATCTGCCGTCTTTGTCGCACTGGCGTGCCATCGCGGGATGGATGGACGGCCAGGATCCGCTCCTCGCGACTGGGGGGCGCTGTTTGATGGGGGAGGGGGCGGGGATGCGGGAAGTGGGGGAGGGGGTGGCGGAGGCGGAGGCGGAGGGGGAGGGGGAGGGGGAGGTGGAGGAGGAAGCGGAGGGATGGGGGGGGGATAAACAAGGAGGACCATGTTTTTCAAGTTCCGAGATGTATCAAGAAGAGGTGGAAGATGCTGGTGGGAATGGTGAGAATCAGTTAGGGGAAGCCAAACAGGGTGAAGTAGCAGCACCAGTGTACATCGTAATCCCTGCTCTTAACGAAGCATCAGCTCTCCCAATCACACTGCGCCACCTGGCAAAGCTCTCACCGCGGCCAGCCGGCATCATCGTTTCCGACGGCGGCAGCACAGATGGCACGCCGCAAGTGGCTGAATCTCTGGGCGCGGTGGTGGTGGCTAGCGAGAGAGGCAGGTCGGTTCAGATGAACACAGGCGCGTGGAAGGCAGTGCAGCTGATGCAGCAGATGCATGCGCGAGAGGAAATTTCTAGGAAGATGCAGCAGATGCAGGTGCAAGCAGGGGAAGCAGAGGAACTTGCTCAAAGCAGTGGAAGCAGTGAGAGAGGCAGGTCGGTTCAGATGAACACAGGCGCGTGGAAGGCAGTGCAGCTGATGCAGCAGATGCAGGTGCAATGCAGTGGAAACAGCACAAGCAGCGGCATTCTCTGTTTTGTTCACGCAGACACGCTCGTGCCATTGGATCTCGTCACACTCGTTAGAAGTACACTGCGAGACCAGTCAGTGTGCTGCGGGGGGTTTGTGCCCGTGGTGGCTGTGCCTGGGCGGGTCTTCTGGGGCATGTGCCTTCGGAACGTGGCCAAGACCTGGTATGTGCCATTGCTTGCTCCTCCACGGTATGCAGAGTTGCATGTTGCTGATAAGGTGGGCCAGAAGAACATGAGTAGCAGCGAAAGTACCACCCTTAACAGCAGCAGCACCAGCGGTGGCAGCGGTAGCAGCAGTGGCAGTGGTATTGGCCCCGTAACTGGTGAGTCTAGTGGTACGAGTTTTACATGGCTTAGTGGTATTGTTGCGTTCCTTCGGGGTATGCGCATGCTGTATGGAGACCAAGCCATGTTCTGCCGGGCACAAGACTTTGTGCGCATTGGAGGGTTTGATGAGAGGCTGGCCATCTTGGAAGATGCTGACCTGTCAGAAAGGCTTCATGTGGATGGCTGGCGGCGAACCATGCCAATTAGCAGAGATTCGCTAAGTGTCATTGGAGGGTTGCATGGTGATGACAAGCTGGTAATGAAACGTGGAGGTAGGATGGTTATGCTTTCCCGAGTGGTGGTTACAAGCGGGAGGAGGTTTGAGCATCTGGGTGCATTTCAAGCCACCTTTGCCAACGTGATATTAGCAAGCGCATACATATTTAGAGCTCCACCCGATGTGCTTTACAAGCTGTATAAAAGGCTATATTGTGATGTGAGATAGACGGTTGTATCTTTCCTTCCGAAACATACACTCCGACAGTTTATTGCAAATTTGCCGAGTGCTGGATATTCCATATTCACAGTCGAATCCGACCAATCATGTCACGCCGCTCAGTTCACACCTCAACAAGCTCTGCGTCCAGGCAGGACGGAACGCCAACTCACCACACGCGCCGAGACTCTGATTGGATGAAATCGAGGAAGAAATGCGGCCTAGGGCACCCTGGGAATCTCTTCCCTTCCCGCCATGCAGACAGGCGCGAATAGCTCAACGAGGTGGTGAAAATCCCTCCAAGTAAATCCCAGGGAAAATGCTCCAGAGCTGGACTTTACATGAGTCGTATACACATTCTGGATTTCATTGTTTGACGGTTCTCTGGATTTGAGTTTTCCCTCTGGTTCCCAAGCCGCGCTTGCAGCTCTGATACGTCGCCGTTGGAAGCGTAAAATTCATCGGACAAGAGCTTTCTGGCTCGCCTTTTTGCGTACGTTTTAGTCTGACTCAGAAATCGATTCTGTTGGCGGATCGGCGCTCTGGCTACTTCGACCGTCGTGGCGGAAGCGTCGTTGCCTTCGTCGTCTGAGGACTCGTCGTCTGCGGCGTCGATGGTGCCACAAGGTGCCGCGAAAATGAACTCCTTCGAGATCGAGGACAGTCCCTACAACAACGACAAGCGGCGGCGGTCAAACAGCCTCTTCGTGGTCAGTGGCTGTGCCCCTCGCTCTTCGCCCCTCGCTGCATTTCTTTGCTTCGATTAAGTCTGCTAGATGAACGCTTTCGAGGTCGAGGACAGTCCCTACAACAACGACAAGCGGCGGCGATCCAACGGCCTCTTCGTGGTCAGTCCCTCATTCTCTTGAGTTTTGAGGCTTCCTAACACCTAAAACTCATTCAAGCTTTTCGTTCACCAGTTTCGGGTTCCTGATGCCGGCTCGTAGCCAAGACTCAAACATAAAGAAACGAAACAGGCGTGCTTAAAATCTAGGCCGCCTAGATTCCTGAGGAACGGAAGGCCGCAAGTCGTTTCGCTGCTAGTCGTTTTGCAGCAACGTTGAGTCGAGAAGGGTTCAACCCAAACGCTGCCGACGGAAAACCTTCCGCCATATTTAATCGCGGTGAGAAGGAGGCGAAGTTGGGCGACAAGACTTTCGAGCTCATGCGGCATTCCACGCATACGAAGCGAATGCGGCATTTCACTTATAGAAAACGAATCCGGCATTTCACGCATACCTTTTCTAGGCGCCTAAAAGATGCGATGGCTGTGAGGAGAAGCCATGGTCGACATGAATGAACGGACGCGCCGTTCCAATCACGCCGGCTGTGAACGGCCGCACGTTTGACTCAAACTCCCCGCCGGCTGAGAACGGCCTCACGTTTGACTCAAACTCCCCGCCGGCTGTGAACGGCCGCACGTTTGACTCAAACTCCCCGCCGGCTGAGAACGGCCTCACGTTTGACTCAAACTCCCCGCCGGCTGAGAACGGCCTCACGTTTGACTCAAACTCCCCGCCGGCTGAGAACGGCCGCACGTTTGACTCAAACTCCCCGCCGGCTGAGAACGGCCGCACGTTTGACTCAAACTCCCCGCCGGCTGTGAACGGCCGCACGTTTGACTCAAACTCCCCGCCGGCTGAGAACGGCCTCACGTTTGACTCAAACTCCCCGCCGGCTGAGAACGGCCTCACGTTTGACTCAAACTCCCCGCCGGCTGAGAACGGCCGCACGTTTGACTCAAACTCCCCGCCGGCTGAGAACGGCCGCACGTTTGACTCAAACTCCCCGCCGGCTGAGAACGGCCGCACGTTTGACTCAAACTCCCCGCCGGCTGAGAGCGGCCGCACGTTTGACTCAAACTCCCCGCCGGCTGAGAACGGCCGCACGTTTGACTCAAACTCCCCGCCGGCTGAGAACGGCCGCACGTTTGACTCAAACTCCCCGCCGGCTGAGAACGGCCGCACGTTTGACTCAAACTCCCCGCCGGCTGAGAGCGGCCGCACGTTTGACTCAAACTCCCCGCCGGCTGAGAACGGCCGCACGTTTGACTCAAACTCCCCGCGGGCTGAGAACGGCCGCACGTTTGACTCAAACTCCCCGCCGGCTGAGAACGGCCGCACGTTTGACTCAAACTCCCCGCCGGCTGAGAGCGGCCGCACGTTTGACTCAAACTCCCCGCCGGCTGAGAACGGCCGCACGTTTGACTCAAACTCCCCGCCGGCTGAGAACGGCCGCACGTTTGACTCAAACTCCCCGCGGGCTGAGAACGGCCGCACGTTTGACTCAAACTCCCCGCCGGCTGAGAGCGGCCGCACGTTTGACTCAAACTCCCCGCCGGCTGAGAACGGCCGCACGTTTGACTCAAACTCCCCGCCGGCTGAGAGCGGCCGCACGTTTGACTCAAACTCCCCGCCGGCTGAGAACGGCCGCACGTTTGACTCAAACTCCCCGCCGGCTGAGAACGGCCGCACGTTTGACTCAAACTCCCCGCCGGCTGAGAGCGGCCGCACGTTTGACTCAAACTCCCCGCCGGCTGAGAACGGCCGCACGTTTGACTCAAACTCCCCGCCGGCTGAGAACGGCCGCACGTTTGACTCAAACTCCCCGCCGGCTGAGAGCGGCCGCACGTTTGACTCAAACTCCCCGCCGGCTGAGAACGGCCGCACGTTTGACTCAAACTCCCCGCCGGCTGAGAGCGGCCGCACGTTTGACTCAAACTCCCCGCCGGCTGAGAGCGGCCGCACGTTTGACTCAAACTCCCCGCCGGCTGAGAACGGCCGCACGTTTGACTCAAACTCCTCATCGGCTGAGAGCGGCCGCACGTTTGACTCAAACTCCCCGCCGGCTGAGAGCGGCCGCACGTTTGACTCAAACTCCCCGCCGGCTGAGAACGGCCGCACGTTTGACTCAAACTCCTCATCGGCTGAGAGCGGCCGCACGTTTGACTCAAACTCCCCGCCGGCTGAGAACGGCCGCACGTTTGACTCAAACTCCCCGCCGGCTGAGAGCGGCCGCACGTTTGACTCAAACTCCCCGCCGGCTGAGAACGGCCGCACGTTTGACTCAAACTCCCCGCCGGCTGAGAACGGCCGCACGTTTGACTCAAACTCCCCGCCGGCTGAGAACGGCCGCACGTTTGACTCAAACTCCCCGCCGGCTGAGAACGGCCGCACGTTTGACACAAACTCCCCGCCGGCTGAGAGCGGCCGCACGTTTGACTCAAACTCCCCGCCGGCTGAGAACGGCCGCACGTTTGACTCAAACTCCCCGCCGGCTGAGAGCGGCCGCACGTTTGACTCAAACTCCCCGCCGGCTGAGAGCGGCCGCACGTTTGACTCAAACTCCCCGCCGGCTGAGAACGGCCGCACGTTTGACTCAAACTCCTCGTCGGCTGAGAGCGGCCGCACGTTTGACTCAAACTCCCCGCCGGCTGAGAACGGCCGCACGTTTGACTCAAACTCCCCGCCGGCTGAGAGCGGCCGCACGTTTGACTCAAACTCCCCGCCGGCTGAGAACGGCCGCACGTTCGACTCAAACTCCCCGCCGGCTGAGAACGGCCGCACGTTTGACTCAAACTCCCCGCCGGCTGAGAACGGCCGCACGTTTGACTCAAACTCCCCGCCGGCTGAGAACGGCCGCACGTTTGACACAAACTCCCCGCCGGCTGAGAGCGGCCGCACGTTTGACTCAAACTCCCCGCCGGCTGAGAACGGCCGCACGTTTGACTCAAACTCCCCGCCGGCTGAGAACGGCCGCACGTTTGACTCAAACTCCCCGCCGGCTGAGAACGGCCTCACGTTTGACTCAAACTCCCCGCCGGCTGAGAACGGCCGCACGTTTGACTCAAACTCCCCGCGGGCTGAGAACGGCCGCACGTTTGACTCAAACTCCCCGCCGGCTGAGAGCGGCCGCACGTTTGACTCAAACTCCCCGCCGGCTGAGAATGGCCGCACGTTTGACTCAAACTCCCCGCCGGCTGAGAGCGGCCGCACGTTTGACTCAAACTCCCCGCCGGCTGAGAACGGCCGCACGTTTGACTCAAACTCCCCGCCGGCTGAGAACGGCCGCACGTTTGACTCAAAACTCCCCGCCGGCTGAGAGCGGCCGCACGTTTGACTCAAACTCCCCGCCGGTTGAGAACGGCCGCACGTTTGACTCAAACTCCCCGCCGGCTGAGAGCGGCCGCACGTTTGACTCAAACTCCCCGCCGGCTGAGAACGGCCGCACGTTTGACTCAAACTCCCCGCCGGCTGAGAACGGCCGCACGTTTGACTCAAACTCCCCGCCGGCTGAGAGCGGCCGCACGTTTGACTCGAACTCCCCGCCGGCTGAGAACGGCCGCACGTTTGACTCAAACTCCCCGCCGGCTGAGAGCGGCCGCACGTTTGACTCAAACTCCCCGCCGGCTGAGAACGGCCGCACGTTTGACTCAAACTCCCCGCCGGCTGAGAACGGCCTCACGTTTGACTCAAACTCCCCGCCGGCTGAGAACGGCCTCACGTTTGACTCAAACTCCCCGCCGGCTGAGAACGGCCTCACGTTTGACTCAAACTCCCCGCCGGCTGAGAACGGCCGCACGTTTGACTCAAACTCCCCGCCGGCTGAGAACGGCCTCACGTTTGACTCAAACTCCCCGCCGGCTGAGAACGGCCTCACCCTACACTCGAATCGCCTATCGTTTTTTTCCCGCTCCCACTCTTGCCTTCGCCCCCTTGCATCCCCCTCCCCCTCTTCTAGGCTCGAAACCTGCTGCAGCCTCCGAGGTGACTTTTGAGTCGACTCAAAAGTCACATCCACCCGCATCCCTCCCGTTCTCCCACGCCGGAAACCTGTTGGAGCCTCCGCCCTTCCGTGTAGCGTGTGCGGCGCGTTTGTCTCAAACTGTCCACCCCCCACCCAACCCCAACCTGGGTCTTCCTCCCTCCCCTTCCTCCACGCCGGATCCTGCTGCAGCCTCACGCCCTCTGTGTAGAGTGTGCAGCATCTTCTCTCTCAACCTGTCGAGGTGACTAATGAGTCGACTCAAAAGTCTCCTGCGGCAGCCTCACGCCCTTTGTGTAGCGTGTGCTGCATCTTCTCTCTCACCCTGTCTCCCCGCTCCTTTCCCCTCCCCTGGGTCTTCCACACCCCTGCGTGCCTTCCCCGTTGCCTGCAGCGAGCAGGCGTGTACCTGCAGCAGTTGCCAGCGCTTCAGTTCGCTGCCTTCCTCTGTGCTCTCCTCTCCACTTTTCGAGCCGACTCAAAAGTTCATCCCCACTCTTTGCTCCCTTTTTCTTCCAACTGCCTGCAGCGAGCGGGTGTGTACCTGCAGCAGTCGCCAGCGCTTCAGTTCGCCGCTTTTCTCTGCACGCTCGTTTTCCTCTGGGGCATCACCTTCGCACTCTCCCCCAACCGCCTGCCGTAGCTGCTGTTACTGCCAAACCTCCTGCAGCTGCCGTACCTGCTGGTTGCCATGTCTTACACGCTCCCCAGCTGGCACTGGGCCATCATGTTTGCACTCTCACCCAACCGCTCCTTGCCGTAACCGCAGTAGCTGCTTTAGCTGCTGAGAACAGGTGGCTGAGATTAGAAGAATAAGCCATGCTGGGGGAACAAGTGCTAGGATGTTAATTTGGGGGGGGGGGGGGGGGGGGGGGGGGGTAATGAGGAGGGGTTGGAGGCGGGAGGAGGGAGGGTTGGGTGTGATAGGAGGGTTGGGTGTGATAGGAGGGTTGGGTATTCAATATAAATTTCAAATATGAATATTTTTAAAAGCTGTAACGCTTTTCAAAATTTTGTATTTTGAAAGCGAGGCTGTTAGTAATGTAGGAATGAGCAGCGTCGAATCGCGCTAATCGCCCGTTTTTGAGTACAAAACGTGGGCTGGAGGTCATTTCCCTCCACCCACGTCTCTCATTTTCAAACGGTTTAGCACACTTTCCCGCCCACCCACCCCTTGGAACAGCGACAACTGTAGCGAGTTGTCAGCATTGTAGTATGTTAGAATTGCTTGGATTTCAATTGTACTAAACCCACTTGAAATGAGACGATGCCATGTCTACATGAAAGAAAGCAAGCTTTCTAAATGTGGAAGTGTTAGGAACCTACATGTATGTCAAGTATAACTGTGAAATACATTCAGGTGTGCAAGCCACCTTTACATATTTTTTATGTATGGATTTGTGTATTATGACACACAAAGCTTTGTTTGTGTATACTAAGTTCTAAAAGCTACACTAACCTTATTGAAATATTTCATAAACCAGCTGTTCTCTGTGACGTGCAAAACTCGTAACACTCTCCTTGTCAGCCGCCGAGTCTCTGCTCTCCCATACCCTTCCCCACATCTCGCCACTGCCTTTCTCCCTAATGCCCTCCCTGTAGTGTCTCTCCTCTCTTCCTTTTCGCTCTTCCTCCATCTCTTCAGTCAAGATATCCTGCTGCTGCTTCCTCTTCTCCCCATCTCCCTCCACCCTTCTCACTGCTTCTAAGTCTCCAAATGCCTCAGACCCCTGATCTCTAAGGGACCGAACCTCCAGCCTCGTCCCGAACCTCCTTCTGAACTTTCTCCTCAGCCTCCTCAACCTCCCCCCGAGCCTCCTCATCAGCCTCTCCAGAAGCCCCCTGCTCCTCGCCAACCTCCCCCAGCTCGTCCCGAACCTTCCTCCGAGCCTCATTCCATGCTGTGGCAAACGCACAGTCAGCAGCATCGATTGCTGACGTGGCATAATCCTCCACGTCACCATCCAGAAAGCCTCGCCCTGTCTCCCCGTCAGCTTGAATCGGCGCTCTCAGCAGCCTAGTCAGCAGCCCATACTCCTCTGCGCGTTTAGCCCGGGTAATTTCCCCTCGAAAAGTCTGCCCTAGTACACCATGCACCGCATCCGTGTTCTGTTGTATAGACATTGGAGTAGCAAGAAAAAACAGAGTCGCAAGAAAAAACAGAGTAGCAAGAAAAAACATTGGAGTAGCAAGAAAAAACAAACAAGTAGAATTTACATGAGACATGCAAGCAGAGTTCCATGCTTGCTACTCCCCCCACATGCACACAGCAAGCAGCAATGTATCCCCATCAATCCTCACAGCGAGCCTTTTGAATACTAACATTGAGGTACTTAATATAGACATTGAAGTGAGTGTAAGCCTCGTCAGCCGTCTGCAGCAGCGGGTGTGCGGCATGCAAGGACAGCTCCATGCTTGCTACTCCCCCCACGCGCACGCGGTATGTGTCCCTGTCCCTCCCATCCCCCATGCCACCCGCCTCTGCCAGCACCATGTGAAAGGCCCCCTCCCCATGCACTGCCTGTCCCACCTGGATTTGGAGGGAGGAGGGGAAGGGGGAGCAGAGAGGGAGGGGAGCGGGAAGTGAGGGGGAAGGGAGAAGGTCGGAGAGCCACATCCCTGCCATCCCCCATGGCCCCCCCCGCTGCCAGCACCATGCGAAAGTCCCCCTCCCCTTGCACTGCCTGCCCCACCTGAGGAAGGGAGGGAGGGAGAGGGGGAAGAAGGGGAGCGAGGGGGAGGTGAGGGGACGCGCACATGGTATGTGACTCTGTCCCTGCCATCCCCCATTGGCCCCGCCACTGCCAGCACCATGTGCAAGGACCCTTAGTTTTGAGTCGACTCAAAGCTGCCAGCACCATGTGAAAGGACCCTTCCCCATGCACTGCCTGCCCCACCTGATATCCCGTCCCATAGAAAACGCAACCACCTCCATTCTCTTAAAAAAAAAAAAACCCTCTCCCCCCACCTCTGCTGCCCCTAGCAGCCCTACCCTACTTGTTAGCCCGCCCATCTCCATCCTCTCAATGAAGCCCCTCTCCCCCCGCCCCTGCTGCTTCTACTGCCCGTAGCAGTCTCAATTCCCAGCTTGTAACGGCGAATTACCTGAGTAGGAGGGGTAAGAGGTCGACCATCCATCTCCATCCGCTCAATGAATCCCCTCTCCCCCCACCTCTGCTGCCCCTAGCAGCCCTACTTGTTACCACGAATTACCTGAGTGGGAGGGGTAAGAGGTCGCCCGTCCATCTCCATCCGCTCAATGAATCCCCTCTCCCCCCGCCGCTGCTCCTTGCCGTCGCGCGCCTTCAGGAACACCGAGTGCTGCCGGCCAATGGGATCTCGCCACGTCATGTAGAGCTCCCTGGATGGCAGGAGCAGGCACGAGGAAACGGAAAATGACAACAAGGATGAGTTCCTTGATAAGAATGGGAATGACCATCCTCGCGTCCATGTTCATCATTTTTATCGTCGTCCACGTTGACATGTGCACTCATCCCGGTCAAGGGACAAAAATGACCACCATCCTCTCGCACACATCCTCATGCCCGTTGATGCCCATGTTGACATGCACACACACACATCCCCCGGTCAAGGGATTAAAATGACCACCATCCTCTCACACACATCCTCATGCCCCTTGATGCCCATGTTGACATGCACAGCACACACATCCCCCGGTCAGTCAGCAGGCAGAAGGACCAATTCAGCTCCCCATGAAAGTCAAACCTACCCCAGGAGACACCTAGTCCAAGACACTGCCTAGCCTACCTGATCCAGGACCGTATGTGCAGTCTGTGTCTTCGCTTCCCTCCTCTCCTTCCCCCCACCACCAGCCTCGGATCCTCATACCCCTTGATCCCCATGTTGATATGCTCTATATGCACTAACTGGCATACTCACAAACTCCTTCCATACCTGATCCATGATCGTATGGGCATCTTGTGTCTTCTTTTCCCTCTCCTTCCCCCCACCACCAGCCTCGGATCCTCATATCCTTTAATCCCCATGTTGATATGCAAGTCTCGGTCACTCAGCAGGCAGAAGGACCGGTTTAGATTCCCGTGAAAATCAAATCGCGTGCCCTCCGCGCCCACGAAGTGCGGGTCGTTCTTCACTGTTGCGAGCGGGTTGCATTTGCCTCCGATATAAGACGGAGGGACGCTCTTTATAGTGTTGTCTACAGTGAATTTCATCAGGTTGGGGAGGAGTCTACAGGTCCCGGCTGTGCCGGCAACGCTGTGGGTGGTTGAGAGGAGAGAGGGGTGGGGGTGGGGGGTAGGGAGAGGGAGAAAGGGATAAAGGGATGGCTAGTTAGGTTAGGTTCGGTTCAGCACTCGATAGAAGTAATCGTTTGAACCACTCGTCTATACCACTCGTCTGCTCCACTTGTGGGATGTAGCAGCACAGCAGCACAGCAGCACAGCAGCACAGCAGCACAACAGCAGCACTCACGTTGGCGGCTGGTAATGGAAGAAGACACACTTGTCGGCCTGCGCGCACGTCTGGCAGCAGGCGTTCTCATTTGTGGCCTGCACGTGGATGGGGGAGGGAGAGAGAGGCGCAGGGGGGGGAGGGGATGAGCGGATGTTCGAGAAAGACAGATACGCGCATGCCGTCACAGCAGCATGACCTGGGCATGACGTGCGCATGACGTCATGACAGCAACGTGCAAAGTAGCAGGAAGAGTGAATGCGGAACGAGGGGAGGGACGGGCAGCGGAATCAGAGGGAAGTGGAAGTGGGTCGCGGAGGGCGGAGAAGCGGGTAGGGCGGGGAGGGCGGATAGGGAGGAGCGGGCAGGAAGGGCGGGAAGGGCGGAGAGGGCAGGGAGGGCGGAGAGGTCGGGGAGGGTGGAGAGGGCGGAGAGGTCGGGGAGGGCGGAGAGGGCGGATAGGGCGGGAGGGGCGAGAGTGAGGCGTACCGTGGTCTTGAGTATCACGGTGGTGCTGTCTATGAGCTGTCGGGGACAGAAGGGGTTGGGGGGAAGAGCGGTGGGGGAGAACAGGGGGAGGGTGGGGAAGGGCAGGGGAGGGCAAGGGAGGACAGGGACGAATGAGGGGCATGGTTCAAGTGGGACAACAAAGGAGAGAGAAGTTGGGGGGAAAGGGACGCGAGGAAGAGGGGGGGACTCTCTATGTTACCCGCTGTTACCTGCTGTTACCACTGTTGCCGCTGTCTCTGTTGAACCAGCGCTGTCACCGCTGTTCCCCGCTGTTGCCATCACTTACCCGCCGTTCCTGCTATTCCCGATCCGCCTTCTACCGCTACCATTTTGCACCGCCGTTCTCGCTCGTAATCGGTGACACCGTGTCCCTACACAGGACAGCCGCATTGCACCGTATTGAACCGCACTGTACCGTGCAACACCCACCTTGTACCGCTCGTAATTTATGTTCCCGTTTGAGCTGATAATGGTCGACGCCGTACCCCCCTAACAAGCCTAGCAAGGGAACCGCATTGTACCGCATCCAACCGCACTCCAACGTGCAACACCCACCTTGTACCGCTCGTAGTTCAAGTTGCCGTTTGCGCTGATAATCGTCGACGCCGTACCCCCTAACAAGCTTAACAAGGGAACCGCATTGTACCGCATCCAACCGCACTCCAACGTGCAACACCTACCTTGTACCGCTCGTAATTCATGTTGCCGTTCGCGCTGATAATCGTCGACGCGATACCCGACGACAAAAGCCACCTGCCCTTGGTGTAGCTGACGCAGCGTGACGTCAGACAGCCGCCCTTTGGCGTCATCACGTCGAGAGTGGCAGCGAGGGCCACGTGGCAGGGGGGGTTACTAGACGGGAGAACCGATGCGAGCAGGACGAGGGGGAGGAGAGCTGCTAGGGCGTGGCGGAAGGAAGCGAAGGGTGCGCGCGAGCAGCGGGGCAGGGAGAGCGGAATGGAACGCGGAAGGGGAGTGGCGCGCGGAAGGACAGAGCCGAAAGCGTGGGGAGCGCGATGATGAAGACGGCGGGGGCATCGGCGGCGCCATCGGCGGCGGCGGACGCGGCGGCTTCGGAGAGAATAGGGTGGGGAGCGACAGACGGATGGGGAAATGAGGGACGAGAAAAATGGGCGGTCCCGTGGCGTTCGCATTGGCATCATCACGACTTTTTGAGGACCTGATCACTATCGGAGGTGCCTTTGTTGGAGATTATTGCATCGGAAATTACTGCATAAATGGTCACTATATCAGACGTTACTGCCTCGGAAGTGTTACTGTGTGCGAAATGGCGACTGCCTCGTGCGACGGCAAAGAAAGGGACTGACAACCACGTATACTATGCGCAATGCTACAGGTCAGTGTTCCGTGGAACTGTGATCTGCTCCTAGACCTCATACAATCAGGAAAATTAGTGGTCCATATAACTAGATCCGATAAGAAGGTCGCTAACATAGCTACTGCTCTTGTGCCGAATCCTCTACTGCCGCATCGACTGCCGCATCCTAGTACCACAGAACCTTTAAACGAAGCTTCTAAAGCAGCTTCTAACGCAGCTATTAACGCAGCTATTAACGGCAACCAACGGAGCTCTCTTTTCGCAAGGCATCCTCGGATTCTCGGGGATCCTCGGGACACCTCGCGTCTGACCTCTCTTTTCGCAGGGCATCAAAAGAGCATGTCAAATTGGCTCGACTCATACTAAAGCTTCGTCACGAGTTCTCATCAGCAATTCCTAGCAATGACTTTCTCGAAATAGAAGGATCGAGCCAAAACCGAAGGCACGATAGTTCATCATCCTTACAGGGCCGTCCTAGATAGATCTCGTTGCCTGAGCACTACGCACATAGTACAAGAACAAGAGGTATAATGATAAGCAGAGCCGACCAGGGGCACCGCGATACAGTGACAGTGACAGTAGCTAACGTAAATCCTGTCTGTGCTGTAATTAAACGGCGCGGTCCCCGCACAAAAAGTGGAACTTAGCTGGCAAAGGTTCACAAATACATTGGGTTTCAAGTGGTTTCAGTACTATCTATACTTATTTTATTCGGTAGAAAATGGTTGAGTAGCCGTTCGGTCTCGAACCCCCTCAACGTAACACCAATCACCGTGCTGACTGGAAGTGTCTGGCCAACCCCAAGGTGGGATGAGCTGAACAGGATTCAGGAAATGCTAACGTTGCGGGCACCTACGGTACGCATTCGAAATAGTGGTCGCGAAATGCGCGCGAAAATGAATTTGCTGTTGGTACGTGTTGTTGGCGAGCAGCTTGGCGTGGGGCGACAAAACTCGAGGAAGAAAAGACGACGCTCACGAAATGTTGGCGATTTTATCGATGGAACTGTGGTTGGCGGTTTGTGGTCGGCCCTTCACATGGAGCGGCAGAGGCATAACGATCTCGATTTTGTCTCACCAGGGTCAAGTGAACAGCTTCAGGGGAATTTGCATGGAGCATCTGCGGTGTGGAGTGAGGTCCAGGGTTTGTCCCGAGGACAAATGCACCGATTGACCAATCAGGGATTGACCTAGATTCGAGGCAGCATTTCAAATTTCAACAGCGCCAGCCCCCACCCTACCACCAGCAGTATGGTTGGTTGGTCGCTCGTCAATGGTTTTGGCGGGAATGGGAGGAAACAGCTGGTTGGATTCTTCTGTCCCCCGACTGAACCGACTGAAACTGTCAGGATGATGTTGACACGGCCTGCAAGTGGGGAGCAGAGGACGGGTTGGTTTTTGTCAGGATGAACAATGCTGTCGGGAAACATACCCTTTACAAAGTTTCAGCTTCGTTCAAATACACTGAATTACAATCACTGTTTCACCATTTGAAACCAATCACTCATGCTGGAGCCATGTAAATCCATGCGAGTAAGTATACCTTTGGTAACTTGTCGGCCATACCTTTGGCATACCTTTGGTACCTTTGCCAGCCATGCACATAGGGCCTCTCCGAAAAATCGGCATTTTACCGAATGGCCAGCCGCACATTGAAATCTTCAATGCATGCAAAGTCTTGTGTTCAGCATAACATAGTTTGGTCCCATATACGCATGAGCACACTACATAGGAATGCCGCAATACCACTTAACCAGTCAAAAATCGGTTAGTTTTGTTACAACCCCAAATGGGACTTAGCGAATGATCGCTCAGGGTTGATCGCATAACAGTGTTGCAGCGGAAGTAGTGAACTTAGGTCAGAGTGAATGTAGATGACTGAGATTGATAATAGCATACATACATCGTGTTTATATAAGAATACAAGGGAATACGAAAAGACCTAGACTAGCCATGTACTCTAAGGGGTACATTCCCTTATTGCGGTGAGTTCAAACTGTGCGGCGCAGGAACCCGTTTCAAACCTGTTCTCGCTCTTTTCATTTCAAATGTTTCTGCCTGCATCGGTCTTGGTCAGACGGT